ATAAGAAAGTGATCCAGTTTCATTCTTTTGCATGTAGCTGTTCAGTTTTCCCAGCACCATTTGTTGAAGAGACTGTCTTTTCCCCAGTGTATATTCTTGCCTCCTTTGATAAACATTAATTGACCATATAATTGTGGGTTTATTTCTGGGCTCTCTATTCTGTTCTATTGGTCTATGTGTCTGTTTGTGCACCTGTGCTGTACTGTTTTGAATACTACAGCTTTGTAGAATAACTTGAAATCTGGGATTGTGGATTATGATGCCCCCAGTTTTATTCTTCTTTTTCATGATTACTTTGGTTATTTGGGTTTTTTGTGGTTCCGTATAAATTTTAGGATTATTTGTTCTAGTTCTCTGAAAAATGCTGGTTGGTAGTTCGATGAGGATTGCATTAAATCTGTAGATTGCTTTGGGTAGTATGGACATTTTAACAATATTTGTTCTTCCAGTCAATGAGCATGAAATAGCTTTCTGTTTGTGTTGTCTTCAATTTCTTTCATCAGTGTTGTATAGTTTTCAGAGTACAGGTCTTTCACCTTTTTCGTTAAGTTTATTTCTAGGCATTTTATTCTTTTTGGTACAATTGTAAACGTGATTGTTTTCCAAATTTCCCTTTCTCCTTCTTCCTTATTAGTGTATAGAAATGTAATGGATTTCTCTATATTGATTTTATATCTTGCAACTTTTCTGAATTCATTTGTCAGTTCTGGTAGTTTTTTGGTGAAATCTTTAGGGTTTTCTATAAATAGTATTACATCATCTGTAAATAGTGAAAGTTCTATTTCTTCTTTACCAATTTTGATGCCTTTTGTTTCTTTTTCTTGTCTGACTGCTGTGTCTAGGACCTCCAGTATTATGTCAAATAAAAGGGGTGAGAGTAGATATCCTTGTCTTGTTCCTGATCTTACAGGAAAAGCTCTCAGTTTTCACCATTGAGTATGATGTTAGCTGTGTGTTTTTCATACGTGGCTTTTATTATGTTGAGGTATTTTCCCTCTAAACCTACTTTGTTAAGGATTTTTATCATGTTTCATAGAATATTTAAAATTTTACTTATTTGTTTTTTACAAAATACAGAGGTTCAGCAATCACTTGTAACAACTCAGTGGAGTTTTACTATCTAGAAAAGCTACAGTGTTATAAAGGCTTTTGATTACCTCAAAAGAAATATTGTAAGAATACACATAACCATATTTGATAATTATAAAATAATTTAAATGTATGTTTTAATTTTATGGGAAATATTTTAAAGTAATGCTCCATAATACTCCAGTTTAATTTTTAGAAAGAATTTTTTAACTTGTTTTTTTAATTGAAATAATCCCATTAATATGCTTTTCTAAAGGCATCTTCATTCATTCATTAATTGTTTAAACTGTGCACTTTTCTAAGAAAACTGTTTATACAAAGAAATACTTTGAAAAGTGTCTAAACTTTTATTTCTGGGCTTTATTTCCATTCTTTTATTTCTTGGTATAAAGAGAAATTCCTTTCAGATTTTCACTTGAGCACATATGGATATACTAGTGAGTGAAACCAGTATTTTTAATAAAAGTGGGAGTAGGCAAAAGTTAAACTGTTTTAGCTCAAGAAACCTGGCACACAACGCCTCTCAGAATAATATGAAAGAGGAACTTGTCTGGTTGGCTCAGTAGGACTTTAAAACATCGTACCTATATTGTGGAGTAGGGCAGAATGAGAATAGCAGAGAGGTACCAGTGAAAATAGGAAAAGGAAAAGAAGGGAGGAAAGTTAACAAAGGAAAAGATGCCAGAGAAGTAGGAGGGAAGGCGAGGGATGTGGGGACTATTGCCCATTCATGCATTCCTTCATTTATTTTGTGCCTCATGTATCAGGACCCTGGCATTTTTTTGGGGTGGGGAATGTGGGGAAGGGGCAGAGGGAGAAGGAAAGATAGAATCCCAAGCCGACTCCCCACCCAGCATGGAGCCTATCGCAGGGCTCGATCTCATGACCCTGAAATCACGACCTGAGCTGAAATCAAGAGTAGGTCACTTAACTGACTGAGCCACCCGGGTGCCCCAGGCCCCTGGCATTTTAAGCAGAGGATCAAACAAGCCTTTGCTCTCTTCTGAGGCCTAAAGGCCTGTCGTCCCATCCATTGGACTAATGGAAAAGAGCTTGAAACAAAAGACGAGCCAGAGTGGAGAGCGAGAATGGACAAAGAGATCCGAGCAGGGATATCAACAGATTGGATGCCAAAGAACAAGAGAGATGGAAGATGAACTTCTCCTTACTCCTTGGCAGAGTATGGAACCACATCTCGTATCTGCTCTAACACACCTACAGGATACCTGTGACTTACTTCTGGTGTCTTCTCTGACCCTGTCCTAGGGAGTACCCTCCTGAGGACACTGAGGACCACACCCACACAACCATCCATCTCCCAGAAAAACCTATATTAGTGTCTTTCATGCAAGGAACCACCATCACTGCCCTCTGAGTATTTTACACAAGAGTTGTGTTTGGTGTCAAGTAAATGGGTAAATAATGAACCAGGATGATAAATGCTGCTAACGAGATGAGTAAATCAGCTAGGTCTGAGGGATCTGGGAAAGTTTCCTGGAGGAAGTTGACATTTCCCCTTGTTAGCTCTTTTTTCTTTCTTTTAAAAAATTCTGTCAGAATAAACCTATTCTGGAAAAGCCTTTAATTTGCTTCACAGTGGAGAAACAAAATGTTTACATTTTGGTTTAATTCAAAAGTTAACAGAGGGGCGCCCGGGTGGCTTAGTCTTTGGGTGTTTGCCTTCGGCTCAGGTCATGGTCCCAAGGTTCTGGGATCGAGCCCTCTGTCCGGCTCCCTGCTCCACAGGGAGCCTGCTTCTCCCTCTCCCACTCCCCCTGCTTGTGTTCCCTCTCTTGCTGTCTCTCTGTCTCTCAAATAAATAAATAAAATCTTAAAAAAAAAAAGTTAACTGATTAGATGGGTTAGATCTGGTGTTTCATTGGTGGCTTAATGTTGGTAAAGTCCTGATTACACTTTAAAAATACATGTTAAAGTTTCTATTCCCTTTCCCCAAATTCATACCCATTTAAAAATGTGTAAAGTTTCTAAAAGAAAACGCAGGATCTTTTGTCCTGCATTTCCACCATCCATTTTATACATAAATATGTGTAGGCAGTACACTCTTGTGACTTAATATGAAACACATGCCCTTAGAGCAATTTAACTAGTGTGTTTAAAATACACCAACTTATTTCCTGATTTGAAACTGCAGTTTTATCAGACTTTTAGAGGAAATGCTAAATCATGATAGGTTGCACTAGATTTCATAGAAGAGCTCTTTAGAGCAGTGGAGGAGTCTCAAAGGACTGAGCGCTTTTTCATACTTTACGTTCTTTTATATAAACCTGATTTAAAGACATTCGTTGTCGCTTGTTTTCTTTTTCTTTTTTTCCTTTACAGAAACTGTAACAGTAAGTCAGCATCCATTTGTGGTCCCTGGTTCATCTCAAGTCTGCAGTGGCCTCTTCTGCTTTCTTCTTGATGGGCTTTGTTCTTTCTTGTCCTATGCGTCCGTCTCCAGCCCGTCTGCTGCCCTGCACTCCAGGCGCTCCGCTCATACTTGGTCTTGGGTGGGATGTCTAGTAGGCCGTTTCAAATTTAACACGGCTGAAACAGAGCCCCTGGCCTTGCTCCCAGCTCCCTGCAACCAAACCTGCTCCTTTCCCAGTCTTCTCCTGTTAATGAATGGCAACATTATGGAGCCTGTTTGGGTCCATGCTCAAACCTGATCCTTGACACTCTCCATTCCCCTGGACAGTCTGTCATAAATCCTGTTGGCTGCACCACTCACTTCTCCCCACTTTTGCCACTGACATCCAGGCCTCCAACCTCACCTGAGCTTCTCATTCCCTCTCCTTCCACCCTTGCCTTTCTATAGCCCATTCTGTATGCGTCAGAGTGATCCTTCCAAACAGAAATCCGATCCATTCATGCCTTGGCTCAGAAGCAACCCAGTGGCTTTCTGTCTCATTTAGAAAACAATTTAGACATAGCTCTAAGCACCTAACGATCTAACTACCACTCTGATCTCATATTTCACCTTTCTTCTTCTCCCTTGCCCTGCTTTGCCCATATCAGCTTTCTTGCTGTTACTCTGTACCTAAGAATATTTGCACCCCAGGACCTTTGCACTTGCTCTTTCTTCTGACACAAACGTGCACCCCCACCCCCCACTAGAATTTAAGTTTCATGAAGGCAGGAACTTTGCTCTATTCCTTCACTGCTCATCCCAGCACCTGCCTGAGGCAGCAATGTGTGGCCAGGATCTAGGGTTTCTGATTCTAAGTCCAGTGCTCTTTTTGTGATTCTGGGTGGCCTTCCATAGGTTTTGAGGTCCCTTGAACACAGTGATCACATCTTCTATTCCTTTTGGCCCACTCCCCATAGGGTATAGGACTGTGCTATCTAGTCGGTGAGGCCCTTCCATGTCCCTAGTAGATGCCATGGCTGGAATGAATGACTTTCTGTGCTCCTTGTGGTCCGTCAGCTCGGATTGCAGACTCTCTCAGGGTGTCCTTCCCTCTTTGTAGGAATAAAAGACAGGCTGCTGTTCCTCACGATACACAGTGGCATCTGGAAATTGCAGGCAGTTTGAGGGGAAAAGAAAATCCAAGGTGGTAGGAGTCTAGTGCTCAATAAATAGATTATTTGTATTCTGAAACTTAAACCTGTAATGGAACTGTGTAACTTTGGAGGAGAGGATTAGATTGAACTTAACAGGCCCTGTGCTGGTTTAAGCCTGAGGTTTTGTACAGGATGTTGTACACTTAACCTGACTTTCTTAAGGAAAGTGTGTCCCACATACCTTCTTTTGCAAATGAAAGAGCATCCCTGTTTGGCTTGGATCTTTCCAAAGCAACTATTAAAGTATTAAAACTCCTACATTTGATTTTGAACATTTCTGTTCTCTTGCCTGCAAAGTTTCTTAGGTGACTCTGGTAATCCTGATTGTCTTCCCCTTGTTTTTACAGGTGATCTGCAATGCTTTCACCATCTGTAATGCGGAGATGCAGGAAGTTGGTGTTGGCCTATATCCGAGGTACGGCAAATGGTATTTCATTTACTAGAAGAAACAACTGTAATTCACCCAGCTCCCTGACTTTGTGGAAGGTGTCAGAAAGGCGATTGCCGCAGCTGGTTCAAGAGCAATGCTCGAAACCTAATGATAAATTATAAGAAAATGGAAAATGTTAAGTTTAAAGAAAAGAATTTTATAACCCTGTAGTATATGCTGTGGTATGAGCAAAGAAGCCCACCTCAGACCTAAATTCTTGATCTTGGGGGCCTTGGGGTAAGAATTTGGGGATCGTGGGTGCTAACAAAACTTGGTTATTACCTTGGGGCATCTGGTTGGCTCAGTCGGTTAAGCGTCTGCCTTTGGCTCAGGTCATGATCTCAGGGTCCTGGGATCGAGTCCCTGGTCCGAGAGGAGTCTGCTACTCCCTCTCCCTCTGCCCCTCCCCCTGCTCATGCTCTCTCTCTCAAGTAAATAAATAAATCCAAAAAAAATGGTTATTCTCCCACCTGCCCTGATCTTGTTCCCCAGCCTCCTGGGCAGAAGCACAGCAGTGTTTCACCAGACTCATGGTGTTGCACCCACTGGGGTCATTTGGTCTTTTGGCTCAGCATACTCCAAGCTCCATTGCCCCAGACTTTCAGGGTTTGACCTTCTGAAGTGCTCTCTGCGGCTGCTCCTGAGGTGGACCCTCTTCCCCTGAGCTGCCAGGCTGTCCCTCCACGAACACTGCAGTCACTCCTCAGTCCATTTTGTTTTCATGCTGGGAAGGTGCAAATACAAATATAGTCCTTCTTATCATTAGTTGTGAACCTGAGAATTCACCTGCTTTTCTCACTTCTCACAAGTGTTGTAAATCATGCATCTGTTGGTCTGTGTCCCGAGAAAGATGGGTCAGAGCACAAGGTGGGAGTTCACGCCGCCTCGTTCCGATTCGGTCCCACTTGCTGGTTGTGCGTCCTGGGGCAAGCCGTTGACTTCCTCGTGGTCGTTCCTTCATCTCTCAATGGCCCTCATGAGATTTGAATGATGTTTGAATTTGGGAAACTTGTGTAAGGGCTAAGAAAGTGCTTTCTACACAGTGAGCGCTCACTTACAGTTCTTCTGAGTATTATCCAATATGTTGCAGCTTAAATTCATTCCCTTTCCCAGATGGTAAAAAGCCACCTTCGTGATATTAAAACGACTGCGCCGGGGCCCCAGGCGCTCCAGGATCTTGTCAGCAAGATGCCCTCGGCTTTCTGTGTAAGAGGGAGGACTCTCGTTATTCTTCAGGAGGCAGGCAGGTCCTGCAAAGGGGCCGCACAGACCAGAGCTGTGTGAGAAAGGCCGGTGGGGTCCTGGCTGCCATCTAAGGAGACAGCTATCCCCCACACTCACCCCCAGAAAGCGCTCAGAAAAGGTTTTTGTTAACACACTTCCCTAAGTAGCCTCCATCTTGGGGAGCATTTCGCGTTATGCGATGTGGGCTAGTGACATTTCTGGGACTTCTAGAGCCCTCAGTCCCTGGTGCCCTGTCAACCTTACCTGTCCCCTCTGCCCCCACCCCCCCATGCTGAAGTGTCTTTTGCTGATTATATTCGTTAACTTTAGATGCTTGACTGTCTGCTGAGTGACGCTACCCTATTTTTCTCTTTCCTCCAGTATGTCTTTGCTAAATCATAGCTGTGACCCCAATTGTTCCATTGTGTTCAACGGGCCCCACCTCTTACTGCGAGCAGTCCGGGACATCGAGGCAGGAGAGGAGGTAAGCCACCTGCTTTTCCCACCGCCTGGCCTCCTTTTCATCAGAGACCCTTCCCTGAAACCAGCTGTGCCTGAGGGACAGCTTCTCCCGATTGTTCCGCCAGGGAGAAGAGCCATAATGCGTCCACCCAATGACTGATTTTCCCCTCAGTCCTTGTCCAGGATTTTAGATGGATTGCCTTTGTAAACCACCATTTCTTTGGATCTCAGCAGGTCCTCTTGTGTGTGTGCAAGAGAGGGGTGTGAGTGTGTGACGGAGTGTCCATGTTCTGTGCATGTGACGGTTTGCCAGCCTTTCGCATCCCGGCCAGTGCTCATCCTTCGTGGGCAGGAATGCAGCCCGGCTTGTGAATGGGATCCCAAGGGCTTACTTACCCCCAGGGCTACTTGTCCCATTTTGCAGGTGACTCATGTATCTTTGTGGCAAGAAAGCAAACAAGATTTACTCGTTCATGTGGTCATGGGGCCTTTACAGAGCTCTGAACGTTTCTGGGCAATTGTTCAGCAAAGATGCGAAGGGCAGAGAGGCCAGGGAGTACAACCTCCTGTAGTGACTTAGCCTTGACCCTCCGGAGTTGTAACCTGCCACAGGTCCTTCTCCGAAGCTCCAGGTCTCACAAGGCAGCTGGGGATGAGCTGCCCCTGGGCTCCCAAAGCGGAGCCCACACAGGGTTTGCACACGTAACCACACCGAATGTGGGCTTATAGGTATTTTACACTTTTTAGAACCTAGTTTCCTTCCACCTTCCAATTTGCTAAAGTGGATATTTATTGCAAGGAAAGCAGAGTATCATAAGCTTTTATTGCATTTATGCAGCACTCAACCAATAAAACCTAAACTCAAGGGCACCATATTTTATGTAGACAGGGATTGGGCTTCAACAAGACTTCCCTCCAATCTGATTTTCAACTGAATAAGCTGTCTCCTATACAGCCACTTACTGGGTTTCCCATTTTTAGGACCCCTGTGCTCAGTACACTGGGGTATCTGTCAACAAGATGGAGAATTACGTTGTTTTTTATTCTTGGGCCACATGTGATTGCAAGGCAGGTAAGAAAGGGGGGCGCTGTCCATTTGCAGCAGCATTAGTGTGGGAGCTGAGGGCTGACTATCCCCGAAGACGATGTCGCTGCTGCTGATAGGAGGATGATTTACTAAATTAAAAAAATTAATAACTGGAGAGGCAAACAGAAAAACTAATACAAACAGTCGGCATTTTCAGGATCAACAAATAGATTTTCCTATGCCTTGTTTTCTAGGCTTGGTTGCCCATTATTTTCCTTGGTTGGTTTTCATTTAGTTGAAAAAAAGTCTTGTTTCTTGGTGCTGATTTCACTTTTTTCATATCCTTTTCCTTCCATCTCTGGAGCAACAAGCAAATCCTTCCTCTCGCTTGACACAAAATAATTGTGCTCAGGATCAGGCCCTGCAGACTCAGATACATTCCCGCATGATACTTATCAAAGCAGCTTCCCAACAAACGGAGGATTCTCCCTCCAAGTCCTTTCATACCGTCTCTTTGGAAGATAATTTTAATTGAGGTGTAATCGACATATGACATTCTGTAAGTTTCCAGTGTATCACACAATGATTCGATGTTTGTGTATATTGTGAAATGATCACCACAGTCCATCTAGTTAACATCCATCACCAAACATAGTTACAGATATTTTTTCTCTTGTGATGAGAATTTTAAGATTTACGCTCTTAGTGACTTTCAAATATGCTTTGCAGTATTGTTAACTATACTTGCCATGCTGTACCTTGTATACCTAGGACTGGCTTACTTTATCATCGGAACTTTGTACCTTTTGACCCGCTTCACCTATTTTGCACCCCCCTCCCACCTCTGGCAACTACTGATCTGTTCTCTGTGGCTATGAGCTTGATTTTTTTTTTTCTCCAGAAAGTAAAATTTTCCCCACCCCATTGTGGGTCTTGGTGGGTGACATTTTGTCTGCACGGTTGTTCCCCCCCCCCCATTTTCCTGTGTTAATGTCACATACCCTTCCAGGTTCTTTCAAACATCATCCCTTCTATAAACCTCTTCCTGATTTCCCAGATTACAGGAAATGTCTTTCGCTTTGAGATCTCCTTTATTTTCTTTGAGATTATTCTGGCTCTTCTGGTGACTTCTCTGTTCGGCCATAAGCGTCATGAGGACAGGCCCTTGTGTCTTACTTCCGTATCTCCCTTAGTACCCAGTACTTGACCTTGCCCCCAGGAGGCATTTGTGGCTCGTTGTTGACTTGACTTCCCTTAAAGTGAGCTTCCATGGAGCCCAGGATTGCTTGTCCCTGAGGGAACTGTTGGCATTCTGGATGGTCATCGGTTCACTGCGTCGGTGAAAGCTGCTGTCCTGAGTCCCAGGTCAGTTGATGCCTATAGCTGCCCACCCCCAACACCTGACATTCCTCCCACACATTTCAAACTGCCCCTTGGGGCAGAGGGAGAACCAGGAGAAAAGACATTTTGAGGTTAAGAGGGGTAGTTCCTTTTTATTGTGCAAATATTTGCTTTAGTTCAACTGAGCAAGGAAGTAAATTTAGAAGCTTTTGGCAGTTTCAGAGGATCAACTTTGCATCTTGGCTCTGCTGCTCATCAGGGAGCCCCTGGTTCTAGCACATGCTCCCTGGGATGTGAGACCCAGGATACAGGCTCCATGAGGGACGACTGTGTAGTGCTTCTTAGAGAGAAGATCCTTACTCTGTATCTGTTGAGTGAGTGAATAAGGCTTGCTGCAGACAAAACCAGAGGTGGAATAGAATGTTAGAGCCATTTTTAAAACTACCACTAATCTTCAGCTGTGTCCCACGGGCCCCAGAAAGAAAGTAACATGAAAGCCAGCCATTACCAGTTTGAGATGAGACCATTTCAGACCTTAGCCCAGGAGACTGGGAATTTGCATAGGTTCCACAGTAGAAGTCACCATGGAAATTTCCTACCCTTTGTTTCTCTGCACATGAAGCCCATCCCTTGGACCACTTTCAGACCCTTCGCTTCAAACCAGCACTATCTATAACGCTTTGCTATTTCAGGATTTCCACTGTAATGCTGAGTTGTTGGGTCTGTTAGTTTGGTTTGGTTTGTTTGGTTTGGTTTTGCTTTGGGGTTTTTGTCTCCTCATCTAGTACCTCCTACAGAAAGGTTTATAGTAAGGTTTGAGGCATGGCCCTCATGCTGGATTGCTGACAGCTGCCTCTTCAGGGTTTTGGTAAGCCATGAAATGTGTGTTATCCGCTAATGGTGTTCTAAAACATGGATCAGGGAAGAAAGCTGGACAGTCTAGGCCACGCTCGTGGAAATTCCTGGTAAAAAGAGGTTGTAGCTGTTACAGATAACGCCCCTGGCTACCAGCATCCTCTGGAGCCGTATCAACTGTGAAAAATATGATTTGCATAAACTGAGCATGTCAGTATCCCTCATATTGGTTTTAATTTAAATTGTTGTGGGATTAAGACAGTCTGTTTCTTCTCTCTCAGTCCCCTTTACTTATATGCTAAGTCATTTGACAAATTCACTGCCTACTTATTGGGTGTCATGTCCTGGGGTGGGCATTGGGAATACAAAGATGAGTAAGACCTAGCCTTGCCTTCCAGAGCTCAAGGTATAAACGAGGAAACTGACATAGAACAGAAAATAGTAAGAGAATATGAAATGTACAATAGTATAAAGTACTTAGGGCTTTATAGACGTTCAGATTAGGGGCATCCAAGTGGTGGTAGGGGGCAGGGGTGGGCGAGCGGGTAAGAAAGGCTTCCAGAGAAGGGACTCCTAGACTCTTGAAGGATCCATAGAGTTCAAGTTGCTTGACACAGGTGAAGGCGTTCTAGACAAAGACACAGAGACAAGGGACAGAATGGTGAGTTCAAGGAGTAGGAAGCATTCTTATCAGTTGACTGAAGACTTTGAATGTGACCAGCCAATGAGGGAATATGCAGGCACCAGACGTGATTATAGGACCCCACGGGGGCCTTATTAAGGAACTCCTAACGATGTCTGGTCTATGGGAGGCACTCAGTAGATATTCATGAAGGGGTTGGGGACAGGCAGTGGGGCCACACTGAAGCAGAGGCACTGTGATCAGATTTTCCATGTGTAAGCAAGGTTGGGCCAGTGAGGGTCATGTTGATGCAGTAATCTAAGCAAGAGGTGACAATGGCGCCCCAAAGTCAGGAGAAATTCAGGTGGCGGCTCATGATGGGGGATCTGAGGAATATGATATTTAGAAGCTAAAATTAGCAGGATTTGCTAATGACTGAATACAAGGGTGGGACAACAAGAAGAGAAACACTAACACTCAGGTGTGATTTTAAAAAGAAGTGAGATTTGCAGTCTTGTTTTCAGGTCAGAGCCAGTAACCGCAGAAAAATTTGTAATTGTGACTGTGTGATTCCAGAAATGAAAATGAAGTCTAATTTTAATTTGGTCTTCTTATCCATTCTGTTGTACATAATGAAAAGATGGGCTTCATGGAAAAGGGGTTCCTTTGCCTTGAAATATTCAAGTAAGCAATATATCCAATATCCAGCAAATATCTTTCATGATATTACTCTAATGTTGGAAGTGATTTACTGCATTTCCCATAAAAGCTGCTCTAAAATGGCAAAGCAATGGTCAGTGGCATTAATATTTTAATGCGATTTTGTTCTATGCCATTAAAGCATCCACTGATCAATGGCCAAGTTTCATATATACGTTCCTGCTAAATGAGCCCTACATGTAGTGAGCAGATTGTTCATTAAAAGTGGTGAACCAGTGAGTCTTCAAGAAAGGCTTTTTATCTTTGGCTGATAAAATGATTTCACTGTCATTGCCCATTAGTAACCTATGGTGCTTCCCCCCCCAAAATAGGCATAAAAATGTTTTGCCATTGAGATCTTCAGTTTTGACACAGAGTATTTTGTGAACTTGGATGAATGTGGAAGAGGCAAAAAGGGACAAATGGGGCAGTCTTCATGGGAAGCGGCGTGTTTGAGCCAAGCTTGCCGGCTGATAGTGCTCTGAAGAAGCTGATGGTGCAGGGCAGGCATGAGCTAGCTGGGGCAGGGATGCTCAGTACCGGCTCTCACCGAGCACACCCTTTCTGAGGAGTCACAGTGTATATAATCGTGAAGACTGGAAAGTGTCCAGGCTAGAAAGGCAAACAGAAGATCAGTGGGGAAGCCTTTGTGTGCCTTACCCGCAGCCAACAAACCCAGGGCCCGTTAGAAAGCCATAGCCCAGTCCAGGTAGTGATTACAGGCAATTACAGGGTAGTGACAGAGGCTGTCAGAGTCTAGTTAGTGGGGTTAAATGAAATAACTAGTCTCCTGTTGCCCATTCACTGCTTGGTGTGATCACTCATGAGTTTTGGCCCTTGTAATTAAGTCTTCGGTTAACCAAATTTCTTTCTCTAGCCCTGGGTTTGTTGGTTTCACACTGGGCACATAGTACTCACCCAGTGATCTAATCTGATGGCAGGGGCTGATGACTAAGAGCCATTGGGCTGGATTAAGAAGGAGAGTCCCAGAGCCAACCCAAGAGGGAGCATGAAGTTCAGTTCATTTTACCATCACCTCATTTAAGGAAACCGGGGCTCTCAGAGCCTGTTGAGACAAGATGAATGCATACCCTTCCCCAGACTTACTAGCAGGCGGTTTCAAAAGTGTGCTTTGAAATTGGTTATTTGGAATTTGGGACATAGAGTTATCCTAAAACAAAGCCTGGTATGATGGCCCTTTGCATCTCCCAGGCAGCCCCAGGTTCAGATCACAAGCAAAAAAAGGGATTTAGGGACTTAAATCTGAAGGAGCCCAGTTGTCACAGACCACTACGGAGTGCAGGCTTACGCATTTTAGGGTTGATGCTGGTGCAGCCCCTCAAGAAGTGAGTCTCCATTCAGCCCCCAGAAGAATGAGAAGCAGCCATATTATAGAAAGAGTATCTGGCTTGAATCAAGGGATGTGGGTGCAAATTCCGAAGGATCCCAGACCTTTGCTGATTTTCACTGCCTCACACTGCCTCACTCCGTGCCTAGCATGGAGTAGACATTCAGTAAAACCGTAGCCTACACGTCTTGAGGCCAGATACTCTTATTTCTGTGTTTCGGAGCAGTGTGATATAGTTGCCTAACATGGGAAGGGTCTAGAGAGAGCCAGCTAGCCAGACCGGGCCGTGGCTTCTGTCACCCTGGGGGTGGCCATGGGGGCTGGGCCAGCTCTGGTCGGCTGACCAGGCCTTTCTTCCAGTGAGGTCATATGATACTGGAAGGTGACTCAGACCAGGATGGTCACATTGGGAGAGGTAGAAAGTGGTTGATTCTGGATATATTTTTAAGGTTGGACGCACAGAATTTCCTGGTGGATTGGGCAAGAATGTGAAAGGGAGACAAAGATACAAATGTCAGGATCCGAAGGGGTATGTGCACCCCGATGTTTATAGCAGCAATGTCCACAATAGCCAAACTGTGGAAAGAGCCAAGACGTCCATCGACAGATGAATGGATAAAGAAGATGTGGTATATATACACAGTGGAATATGCAGCCATCAAAAGGAATGAGATCTTGCCATTTGCAATGATGTGGATGGAACTGGAGGGTGTTATGCTGAGTGAAATAAGTCAATCAGAGAAAGACATGTATCATATGACCTCACTGATATGAGGAATTCTTAATCTCAGGAAACAAACTGAGGGTTGCTGGAGTGGGGGTGGGGTGGGAGGGATGGGGTGGCTGGGTGATAGACATTGGGGAGGGTATGTGCTATGGTGAGCACTGTGAATTGTGCAAGACTGTTGAATCACAGATCTGTACCTCTGAAACAAATAATGCAATATATGTTAAGAAAAAAAAAAGATAGCAGGAGGGGAAGAATGAAGGGGGGTAAATCGGAGGGGGAGACGAACCATGAGAGACGATGGACTTTGAAAAACAAACTGAGAGTTCTAGAGGGGAGGGTGTGGAGGGACGGGTTAGCCTGGTGTTGGGTATTAAAGAGGGCACGTTCTGCGTGGAGCACTGGGTGTTATGCACAAACGATGAATCATGGAACACTACATCAAAAACTAATGATGTAATGTGTGGTGATTAACATAACAATAAAAAATTTAAAGAAAAAAAAGAATGTGAAAGAGAGAAATCAAAGATGACTTTGAGGTTTCTTCTTGAAGGACACGAAAGATGCATTGCTGTCAGCTGAGTTTGGGACGGCTCCAGCAGAGATGGAACAGGCCTGGGGAGATCAGTAGTGCCATTTTGTGTATATTGAATTAGCCTTTCAGCGTATATAGATCTGGTCGAGTGTGGGATGTGTGAACATCGCAATATTACCCAAAGACCTGTGTCTCCAAGTGGAACTTGACAGCAACAGAGAAACCTGACCTTTCACCATCCAAGACAACATAATCACTGTTTGAAAGGGCCCAAGGAAGTCAGCTTAAGAGCTTCCATCTAGGATCACATTCCAAGTTCTCCCTACTTGGAAATTATTCCTTTTTTTTTTTTTTAAGATTTTATTTATTTGAGAGAGAGAGAGAATGAGAGACAGAGAGCATGAGAGGAGGGAGGGTCAGAGGGAGAAGCAGACTCCCCACTGAGCAGGGAGCCCGATATGGGACTCGATTCCGCGATTCCAGGATCATGACCTGAGCTGAAGGCAGTTGCTTAACCGACTGAGCCACCCAGGTGCCCCCTTTTTCTGTAGTCACAAGTAAAACAGTTTCCTAACTTCAAAGCCACCAAATTTGGTTGACTTCAAATTCCATGAGGCTGCAGGACTGATTAGGATTTAAGAGCATCTGGGTGTGTCATCTGCTGCCCCTTTGGGGGCTAGAATTGATCTGACTTCTCTGATTGCAAGCGGTTATAGCTTTTACTACCCAGCCTTAGTACTACCCAACACATGCCAGCTCTTGATATTCTCTTATTTGGTGGATAAAAGGTGAGGCGTAAAAGTGTATAGAGGCCAGGAGTCCAGATCTTTAAAGTAAGTGTATAATATACAGGTGCTCACCACACAACAAAGACCGGAGGTAATGCATTAAAATTTTACAAGTGATTATTTGCATAGAGAGACTGTAAGTAGTATCTTTCCTTTTTGCGCTTTTTGGTGTGTAATGAAAATGTGTTTTGCTTAAATAATCAGCAATGATAGTAAGCATGTGTTAAAGACGATGAGCACCACAGCCACGTGACCCTCTCCTCTGTGGCCCCCCCAGCTCACCATCTGCTACCTGGACATGCTGATGACCAGTGAGGAGCGCCGGGAGCAGCTGAGGGACCAGTACTGTTTCGAATGTGACTGTTTGCGATGCCAAACCCAAGACAAGGTATGTGGTTGGGGGGGGCGAGACCAGCTTGGAGCATCTCCCAGGCATGATCCCAGTGACCTCTCAGAGAACCACACTTTTCTTTCATTAATCCACAAAGAAATGACTCTTAGTGCAGAGTGGGAAACTAAGGTGAATAAAAAGAATGCATTGTGGGGCACATGTTTTATCTCCTTGAACTTTTATCACCCATGAAGCAGTGAGAGGTTTAATCTCAGGTAGAGATCCATGGAGCTTAGATTCTAGAGGAATATAGACGTTAAACGTATAATGAAAAGGACATTGAAGGCCGGAGTGCTGTTAGATCATACAACAGGGGGGTTAGGGTACATTATGGCTGGTAAGCTACCGCTCAATTAGTGAATGTATTGAGTCATTCCTAGTTTTTTATTTCCTTAAAATTTGTTCTGTAAGGCTTTTTGCTATAACGCTTATGGCAGAGAGAGCTCACTTACCTCTAGCAACTTTTACTCTCTGAGAAAGGAAGAAAAGCCAAAATAAATGCCACAAAGACAATGGATGAACTTAGGTTTAAAAAAAAAGATAATAAATGAACTTTTCTCCTATTATTCATGTGCTTTCCTCACATTGAACCTATTGACTTTTGGTTTGCACACAGTCGAGTTATCTGATTAATAATTCTTACTTTTGCAGAGTGTTTTGCATTTGTGGGAATTCTTTTGTAATTACTATGTCATTTAACGCAATAATTGTGAATTAGGAAATGCAACTCAGAAAGGTTTGGAGGTGTGCCTGTGGGAGACTCTGGGTGAAGAAAACGGGGCAGAACCAAGTCTCAAACTTAGATCTTTTGACTGAATCTAGTGCTCCTTCCTCTCTACCATAGAGCCACCTGTGGTCCCTGGTGCCAGGATCGATGGAGAAAGGTTTCTGTTTGCCTGAAGGAGAAGGGACCATGCACTCATTCTAATGAGGCGGGAATCAGTGAACACGATTAGTTTTTAATGAAAAAGAAATAAATGTGCTAAATGGGAAAAGTTGGATCCACCACTAATACCTGCCCAAGATTCAATCCACTTTAGCTTTAGCCTTTTGCGACAGCCACACATGCTGGAATTATAGGGGATCCCCTGGGATTTCTCCCCAGACCGTAATCTGTAATGGCAAGAAGCAAGCTATCTTCCCACCAGCCTCCTTGAAGGGGAGGTCTTAGATTTAGTGCCTCTTACACTCCATCTGTATTGTAGACCCACAAAAACTTTCTTGGATAGGTGCTTGTATTTTATTAAAATTGGGGTCATGTTCACTTTTGGTTTTTTTTGGTGTAGTTGAAATAGGGTTAGAAATTGTCTATTAGGAAAAGGCTTAGCCTAAAATAACAGATAACCCAACTAAAATGGTCCCAGGATGACTGATGCCCTCAACCCTCAGCCAGCATGTCCAAGCTCTAGACATGAAGAAGAAGGGGTAATAAAAAGCAAAGAACAAAGGGCAAAGCTCCTAGGGATTTCTACCTACACTTGATTGTTCAGAACTGTATTGTATGACCCCTGTTAGCTGTAAAAGAGGTGAGGAAACTACATTTTTAGGTTTTCAGCCTTTAAACTGGAGGAAGACAAGGGAGAGGAAGGTTGTGAGTGGCTTTTGCATAGCTGATCTACAGTGTCCACCGTGTTCATTGAGACCATTTTCTTTCCTCTTTTGAGCTAAATGTTTAATATCGTATTAGGGTTCTCCAGAAAAAGAGCACAACAGGGTGTGTTTGTGTGTGTGTGTGTGTGTGTGTGTGTGTTTAAAGGAGTAGTGGGGGGATATTTATTATAAGGAGTTGGCTCATGTGATTGTGGAGACTGAGAAGTTCCAAGACCTGCAGCTGGTAAATGGGAGACCCCTGGTGAAATTCTAGTCTGACCCAGGAAGAGCCAGCCTTTCATTTGAGTCCAAAGGCAGGAGGGAAAAAAACAGCTCGAAGGCAGTTGGGCAGGAGGAGTTCCCTCTTCCTTGTGGTAGGGTTAGTCTTTGTTCTCCTCAGGCCTTCAAGTGATTGGGTGAGACCCACCCACATTGGGGAGGGCAGTCTACTGATTCAAATGTGAATCTCATCCAAAAGCAGCCTCACACACATACCCAGAAGAATGTTTAACCAAATACCTGGACACCCTGTGACCCAGTCAAATTGATACATAACATTAACCATCATAAATGTTGTGTTAGAGATGGGCCAAATGGTAACATGAAAAAATACTTAATAATTCTGCTGGATTCTAATCCATTCTGTGCCTGACAAACTGAGTGGCCTTGGGCAAATCATTCAACCTCTCAGATTTATTTCATCATCTGTCATACAAGGGATCCATATCTCATTGTGGTTTTGATCTGCATTTCCTCCATGGTCACTATGTTGAACATCTTTGCATGTACCTGTTGGCCATCTGTATCTCTTCACACCTGTCAGAATGGCTAGAATCAAAAAGACAAGAAATAACAAGCATTGGTGAGGTTGTGGAGAAAAGGGAATGCTTGTGTGTTACGTTATTGGTGGGAATGCAAACCCGGGTGGCCACTATGGAAAACAGTTTGGAGGTTCCTCAAAAATTTAAAAATAGAACAACCATATGATCCAGCAATTTTGCTTCTGGGTATTTATCTAAAGGAAATGAAAACACTAACTTGAAAAGATCTCTGCATCCTCATGTTCACTGCAGCATTATTTACAATAACCAAGACATGGAAACAACTTTAACTGTCCATCCATAGATGAATGGTTCAAGAAAATGTGGTATATATACACTAGGAGATTATTCAGCCATTGAAAATAAGGGATTCTGGCCATTTGCAAGAATATGGATGGACCTTGGGGGCATTATGCTAATTGAAATAAGTCAGACAGAGAAAGACAAACACGGTATATAACACAACGGAATTAAATTGGATGCTCTTAAAGCCCCTTCCAGCTCTATTATCCCATGTTTCTCTGAAATGTTTCCTAGGAGAAGTGAGTGGGGTGTGTATTGAGATGAGAATAGAAACGTGATTTCAATTAGCTCATCAGTTATATTTTCAAGTTTCTATTTACCTGAGAATTTTGTTTTGTTTTGTGACGTAAACATCCCTCCTGAAATCTCTGTATTGCTGATTTGCTTTGAAAAAATAAGACACAGGTGAATCCAGCTTAATGCATTCTACAAAGATTATGAATTCAAAACTACTTCAGTCAGAATTAAATTTACTTCAGTTCCTAGGCTTAAAGTTTTCAAGATTATTTTTCTGCTTTTCTTGGACCCTAAAAAATTCATCTCACCAGGTTTCCGTGTGAGGCAGTATTTATTACAGTGCTCGAATCTGCATGGTGCTGGACTCATGCGCTGGCCTGTCTCGGGAAGGCAGGAGGCCTAACAGAGCAGCTGTGATTTGCATGTGTGGGGCTAGGTGTCATTTCTAGTCATCAGCAGCTTTCTGGAAGGAATAGACCTTACCTTCTAAGGGAGGCTTTGGAACGATTTGGCATCTCCTGTGGTTTGCCCAGGTCAGAATCCTAGGCCATAGAAGCAGAATAATAGACCAATGGGAATTGATTGTTCCCTTAAGTTTGTGGGCAGTAGGCAGCATGCTTCCTTGGATGTCGCCTGCTTTGTGGCAAGAAAAAGCTGTGTTTCCTGGCCATGTTACTTTTTCTTTCCTAAAGCCTCTTACGTTTGATCCTTCTAAAACACGGTGTCTGTCAGTTTACTAATAACACCGTTCCCTCACCTCACTCCTGGATTATTGAAATAGCCCCTAATTGGTCCCCTGGCCCTCCATGTCCCCTTGATCATCCATCCTACACACTGTCCTACAGTAAGTTTTCTGAACCACCACGGTTTCCATGTCATTGCTTTGCTCAGAATTTTGGAAAACATTTGCCATTGGCTTTAATCTTCAGGATAAACCTCAGACTCTTAGCTCGGCATTGGAGGCCATGACCCCAAAGTCCAACCTACCCTTTTTCCCTTCCTTTCCCTTCCTCCCCCAGTGCGTTCTGTCTCATCACACCTCCCACCACTCAGAAGCCTCCAAAGGTCTTCCAGGCACACATCCATACACATCTCTCTACATATCAGTGTAAGTATGTAAATGTAGGCAGATGTGCATGTGTGCTATAATGGCTGTAAATCTTACATTGATTTGTGAAATAAGAGTGACAGGAAATAGGGTGCCTGGGTGGCTCAGTTGGTTAAGCAACTGCCTTCGGCTCAGGTCATGATCCTGAAGTCCCAGGATCGAGTCCCGCATCAGGCTCCCTGCTCAGCAGGGAGTCTGCTTCTCCCTCTGACCTTCCTCCTTCTCATGCTCTCTCTCTACCATTCTCTCTCTCAATAAATAAATAAAAATCTTTAAAAAAAAAAAAAAGAGTGACAGGAAATAAGACAAAGGCAAGTCAGTGCCCCAAAGGCATTCCGTGTGATCCTATAAAGTGACCAGAAACCAATCACAAATTACTCTAAATCTCCCAACAGCCAAAGCTGAAGGACTGAGTCAGAATTTACAGTAGCTGTGAGGTTGGATACATACCTGTTCCTCTGCCAAAGCCCAGTTTTTCCCAATACTGAGGCCAGAGCCACTCCAAAGGGTCCCAAAGATGCAGTGGGCAACGTCCTCAGCAGAGTCCATAATTATTTAAATAGCTGATTTTTTATAATATTTTTCAATGTGGCTGATAGACATAATTTCAAATTGTAACTTAATAAAAGAAGTAACACGAAGGGTTAAAATTTATATACTCTTGGTTCCTATCTCTGATGGTTTGCTCCCTTCTAAGAATAAAATTTACATTGTACCGAGGGAAGCAAGGACTGCATACACTTCAGATGATCCTTCATTAATGGTATTTCTTGCAGTCTTTTCAATTCTTTAATTTTTATTAAAGTGATACATGCATACAGTCTGAAAAATCAAAGTGCTAGAAGCCAGTTCAAAACACTAGTACACTTTCGTCTCCTGCTCCCTTTCGGCTTTGGCATTTATTCTCTGTTTCTAAAGCTAAAGCTCCCTTAAATCAC